TGCTTCTAGCTTGGATCCACTGTCATCTATGTTTCCTCCGGTGGCACTCCGAATTGCATCTTCTTGAATCGCTGTTTTTATACCTTTTATGCTTATACTCCACAGTTCTCTAGCTTTGTGCGCCAACTCAACATGTATGGCTTCCACAAAATCAACCGCACGCCACGCGCGCAGCGGACCACGTCTGATGCCCAGACATGGGAGTTTTCCCATCACAAGTTCCTCCGGGGCCGTCCCGATCTCCTCGACGAGATCAAGCGCAAAGCCCTCGAGCCAGATCCCGCTTCCAAGCACCGCGTCGAGCTCCCTGGGGAGGTGTGTTGCCCGCACCCGCGCAAACTCTGACCCCACCCTGACCGCCCCCAGGTCGCCGCCCAGCTGGGTGCCATGCGCGAGGAAAACCAGCGCATGTGGGAGCAGCTCAATGCAGAGCGCCGTCGCGTCGAGAAACTCGTCTCGATCGTCGGCCGCCTGTGGGACGTCGTCGGCAAGGGCTTTCCGGGCAGCGGTCGGTGTCCCCCTCTCCTTTCGTCCTTAATCTTCTGACCGACCGTCGATTCGCAGTACCCCCGTTCCCCGTCGATCTCCTCGAGCCCAACATTTTCGTCACGTCGCCACGCGGCTACGAGGCGAGCCCGACCGCGCCCGACTTCCCACATCACCAGCCGCCGCCCCCGCAGCACCACCCCACGCATGGGCACTCCCACTCGCTCTCGCGGCAACACAGCTTCCAGCACATCTCCTTCTCACGCGGTGAGACGTCCGGGTCGCCCTTGCCGGCGTCGCCGGGCTCGATCACAATGGAGATGTTTGACGACGCGGAGAGCGGGCGCGGGAGCTCCAAACGCCAGCGCATGATGTCCGGAGACGACACGAGCCCCATCACGAACGGGGGCAGCCCCCACCCGCACCACCCGCAGGCGCACCACGCCGCGACCGTCGACTCGCTCTCGCCGCCCAAGCCGCGCACGAGCCGCGCCCGGAGCGACAGTGCGCCACTCGGGTATGCGATGCAGCCGGGCCCGGGCGGCAGCGGGGGTGGCGGGCTGGGACCATGGGGCGCCGGCAGCGGGGGCGGGCGGCCGCGCAGCGGGAGCGGCCTCGCCCATGGCCAGGGACAGCGTGGGATCCCAAATATTGGGAACATGTCCCGTAGCATGGGGCCGAACGGTGGCGGCGGACCCCTGCTTTCGCTCGCCACGGTCCCGAGCAACGCGCCGAGCCGCTGACGCCGGCGCGATCCAAAAAATGGGTGTCAAGCCCTCTCTGTTGTTGCTGTACCCTCTTGGACTCATACGTTGTTTGCGCTCCGTTTCCGTTCCTCTCCTTTTTCACGAACCCTTCACGTACCCTTAGATGGTTTCTATTCTACCAAAAACAGCTGTCGCTCCCTTGTACCCTGCTCTCGTTTAGCTTGTTTATTCCTCCTTTACACGCCCTTGCTTTCATCCTGTACACCGCCCTGCTGCATCGCCCATCCATCACTCGCATCCATCCATCCATCTATATCTCATCTCACGCAACCATCCTTCACACTTACCTCTCTCTCTCGGTGCTGCTTCCGGACTCACACTTGTTTGTCGTTTTAGGGCGCGGCGTTATATCCATAGATCTGTGTACTGTACTATCAGCGGAAATCGAAAAATGAAAACAATGTTGACGGATCCGATGTACATGCGGGAGATACAGTGTAATGAGTAAAGTACAGTGAAAAGTGTCAGGGCGCGCGGCCGTTCATGTCGTGTGCGATAAACTCCATGGAAGGCTGGCGTGAGTGCTTGCGGCGCGATCACTTAGTGCAACATTGCCGCGGGCGGGGGCACACCTACCTCCGGCGGCGGGTGGTTGCCGTTTGTCTGGACGGGCCCGAAGCTGCTGTTGCTGCCGCTGCGCGTGCCGGTGCTGCTGTGGCCGTTCCCGTTCCCGTTCCCGTTCCCGTTGATATGGCGCGGGGGCGGGCGCTCGGCGACGAGGGGAACCGCGCTGGTGCTCGGGCCGGCGAACGCGTCGAGGTCCATGGGGACGTCGTCGAGCGCACCGAGGAGGGGGAACATGGACGGCTGGTGCGTCGCGACGAGGTTCATCGCGTCGAGGAGGAGACTGCGGCAGGCGATTCGGCGGGGGTGCGCGGAAAATGCAAGACGGGAGACGCACTCGTTCTCGGCCTGCAGCTTCTTGATCTTCGCCGTGGCAATCTCGAGATCATGGTGGTACTCCTCTTGTTTCTGTGCAAGTCAGACGCGTCAACGCGCATCGAAACGAGGCCACACACTGCGGTAACGCGGTCATATTTTTCGCGTAGCGCCTGGAATCTGAATTGCAATTAGTATGCAGCCAGCGCGGGCACCGCCGTATTATGGCCTACTTTTCCTTGTACCGCGAATTGCGATATGGCAACTGTTGATACTGTACGGGTCAAAGGATCTACCTGCCCCGATCTGAGCATACCAGAAATGGGCCCTCTCCGGGGGGCTGGCGAGATGAATTGGCGCTGTTGGGGCCATTCTCCGGCTGGTTTTCGGATGGATTGGCGTTCACAGAGATACGAAAACGATGCTGGGCAGCAGGGCCACCTTCAGGCAGCTTCACTTCTTCATTCGTGGGCATCTCGAATTTCGTAGGAGGAGATGGAGCACGCTGGGCCCGTAGCGGCAACGGAATTTTGTGGGAGGCGATCGCTTGCGAACAAACACCGAGCCAAACATCACTTACTCCTTCTGCCTGATATGGCAGTTATCAAATCTTTCGGCAGAATGCACGTGTCTCTTCCAGTGGCGCCTGGATTTTTCGCGAGGCACGTTAACGGAGTTTGTGTTTGTGTTTGGGAAACGCAGGGGAGAAACAGGTACACAAGCAGCGGAATGTAATCATATCTAAAAATTCAAGTTCACGCCTTCAGCTGCAATTTCTGGCAGAAAGATCTTCGTGTCTGCCAAAATTAACAATCGATTGGCTCCGGCAAATACCATATTCGCAGAGCCGAAGCCGAGGAAGACCTTTCCGAGCAGCGTACCATTGGGATTGAATATCTACACAACTTCAGTATGAACAGCCGGTTTTTACGGTACAGAAGACGAACCTCAGTCCCGTCTCCGCAGCCGACATACAGGTTGCCCTGGGTATCGAGCGCTGAGCCGCCTGGAACGCCCGAATCGATAAACGCGAATACACGGCGATTAATGAAGGTCTGCGATTCCGGCATGAGGTCGAAAACATATCCGTCATGAAATCATAAGAAACCCGTTGCAAACCGTTCGGCACATACATTGTTGCAGGAAGGGTCGGATAAACCCCGTACAGCTCCTTCAGCCTCCCCAGAGTCTGCTCTGTGAATGCCGGTTAGGTTGGAGTAAATTGATGGAATTCAGAGCGTGCACATATAAACCGTGCTGCCATCAGGCGAGAATGCAATTCCCTGCAAGAGCCCATCCGCGACAACGCGAACCTCGCCTGTGTCCACGTCAAATCGGTAAACTTGGCTTGGAATGAGCGGCGCCGGCCGGAATCCGTTCTCGAATCCATAGCTGAAATCAAGGTTATCAAAACGAAACAAATTGCAAGTTCAGGGTATTTTTTTTTGAATCAATTTTATTTGGTCCGTAGCGCGTACACTATAGTATCCATCCTTCTACACTAAGAAGTTCAGGGTATACACACGTAGTGTCCGTGAAAAATATCGCGCCGCTCTGAGGGTGCACCTTGGCATCGTTGAAGGAATTGAACTGGCGGCCGTAAAAGCTGTTCGAGATTATAGTGTCGTTGAACGGCGGTTGGGGGGTTGACTCTAACTAAACTCGGTGGAAGTGGCCCAGATCCAATTGTCACAAGCAAAAGATCCCCACGAAGAAGCGTGCCGCCGTTGTTGATTTGCACATCATCACTCAACGGGACCTAGAGAACGTCAATTACATGGAAACTCGGAGAGTGAATGTCTGTGCCATGGTAAAATTGATTAATCCGGTCGTGCTAGTGTTGAGATGGTTCAAACTTATAAAGGAGACCTACATTGCGTTTGTAAGTATGGGTCATTAAACGGCCGACATTTTTACCGGTCATCCCACGGTTTTCCCCCCATTGAAAGATACCTCGTCGGTGGACGGGACCCCAAGGGCTCCTCGTGAGCGAACGGGAAAGTGTCAATCTCTACGATGACGCGATCAGACCGATTTGGGCCCAGAATGTCGGTGGATCTGTCATCGAAAATATGGAAATATGGAGGTGTCAGGTTGACGTTAGGCCGGAGTGGGCTCGAATAGCTGAGATCCATTGCGGAACGGGCGCTGCGGGTCTAAGACAACGACCGTTTATCCTCGCGCTATAGTCGAATACATCAGGGTGAATAGCGGGAGTTGTGACAGAAAATGCGGCACACAACAGCGGGCGCCTGTGCGAGGGTGTGTATAGAAATTGAGCCAGCCTTCAGGAATCTTGCTGCAATCTTCATACGAGGACGTGGAAAATATCACTTCCCGAGAATAAAATTCCAATCGCAGCTTGTGAGGGATACCCCACTTGCATTCCCATGTATGCCCTACAAACATGGATAGCGGATATCGCAGTGTGAAACACAAGTCTCGGTCACCGTTACGGAGACGCTTACCTCCTTTCTCCCAGTACGACTGGAGGTTTCAAAAGGGCTTGGTTACTCGGAGCTCCACCGGATCAGCTAGAGGTGAGCAAGTAACCGTCTTATGGAGTCGAAGTCGGCAGAGATTCCGATGAGAGTACTAAGGGCTCTATCCAGGACAAGGCAGATAACCCGAATTTGTGCTGTGGGAATTTAGAATGCGGGAGTCACGTTCGTCAAGGGTTGCGATGGGGCCGTGGACCAGGACCGTGGTTGGCACTTTGAAAGCGAGATACTACCATTGGGCGATATTCGATGCGATGCCAAGAGCTCGGAGTGAAAAAAGCCCGAGGCTCTGGTGGAGAAGAGTCGATACCATAGTCGGTAAGGGAGAAAAAGGAAGCAGGTAAAAAGCTATGAAACAAAACATAAATGGCATCACCGTGGCTTGAACACGGGACCTTCAGATGATCCGTGAAACTTCAGTCTGCTGCTCTCCCAGCTGAGCTATGACGCCGTTTCCAGCGGTGCGCAACAATCACCTGGGTCACTATCCAAATGATGAAACATTGCCTGGTTGCGATCGCAGCGAGCAATCCTCAGCTTCACGTGACAAGGCGCAGGGTGGGGAAGCAAACACGAACAAATTCTTCGCAAGGTGGCTGACCGTTGACGGGATTCTGAGGAAAGAATGCCTTCAAACCCGTTCAAAATAGGTGATTTTCCGATAAAAAGTATATGGTCTGGAGGGGATTTTCGAGGGGATTCAGATGATACCAATTTCTTCGTCATTAGATGGGTTTCAAGTTTGTCCAAAAGCGGACGACTTCCTAATTTGGACTGTCCGGATTTGGTAGGATCACGTAGATCGGAGTATGCCGGGCCCAGGCTGTGTCTGCGGAGCGAGCTGAACCATCGCCGAGTCGAATTCTTTATATTTACCTTAACTTTGAGTCTTCGAGTCAAAAACTTGAAGCTTGTCAGGAATAGTGAGGAGACGGCGGTGCGCGACCTATTCACAAGCGTACCTCTGATAATTCTGATTGGTCGGCCGATATCAATCTCCATCAGAATCTTATCGACGCAGACCATGCATTCACCAAGACACAAACCTTGTGGGTCCATATCATGATGCACCACGACCATTGCGACACATATCCTGGTCCTCGACTCCTACTCTGACCTAGAGGATGTGCACAAGGCCGCGGAAGCACCCGACCTCATCGTTGCCGTGTTCTTGGACAACGATTTGCCACCACTCGATCGACGCGCTCTAAATGAACCCAGAGCCATGCAGACTCGTTTTGATGCGACATGATCTCTATGCCATGTTGAAGGCGAGCACTGTCTCAAGAAATTTCAACGCTGTGCGAAATCATGGTGAGTGAAACCAATGCACTTGAGTCTTTGTTCCGTGAATTCATGCCGAGGCAGTGGCCTTTCGTCGGTGGAATAATTCGAGCAAAATCGCCAAAATATTTTCTAGGTTTCTTCCTCATCTCGTTGAGTTCACTGAGGGAGGAGAACCCAAACCTCGGTCGCTTTTGCCAGGCAAAATCACCGACAATTTGCATGTGCATATCACATCATTAAGGATCCCTCCCATATCTGTTGAAGCCCCTAGCGCACTTCTCTGTGACCTGGGAAGATTTCCTGAAGATGCTACACTTGCAAGTTGAATAAACAACATTTTTGTGGAAGGGAACCATACTTAAGTGAATGGATTCATTTCACCAATCTGCACGGTGTGCTAACATCAAGGACAGATTCCTCGTCTTCCGGCTCTGGAAAACGCGACTGACTTTAAGGCCTCTGCCAAAATTGGGGATTTTATTTTGTTGGCCAGGTCGACTGGAACGGAACTGGCATGACAGATCTCAAATGTCTTCTAGAAATTTATCTTGGGCGCGAGACTATTTCTTTCCTCAGGGAAGTGGAACACCCCAGAGATACCGCAGAGAGCATCAAGTTAATGTATCAGTGTCTGTGGAGCCTGTTGTTGTTTCGCCTACTTACTTTCTCCATGTTTGTGGAGCATATTGGAATCAGTACCGAGCACAAGAAATTGTGGCTCCTCATTCAAGCATTGGCGCACAGTGGTTTCGGCGATGTTTTCTCCCAGCTCTTCATGGAAGTAGCAGATGCCGACGATGACTATACATTGCCCATCTACTGGCAAAGCTTCGTGAATCATCCGGCATCAACCACGACGTTCTTGCATCCCATTCGTATTCATTCACATTCTATTGCACCCAAACTGATTTATGTTATCTAGGTACCTATGAATCATTGACATTGGCCCTCCAAGACGTTTTGTTTCATTATGCAGTAAACGGGCAACACCCTCAACCATTCGCCGTGGATTACACTCCGCATTTGGTTAATTCTTTGATGCACAGATGTCGCTAATCGTGGTTGATGAGCCCATGATGCTCGTCGCATCTCATCTAATCTCTTGTAGACAGACACTTCAACAAAAATTACTTCGCGCCCAATTCGTACCTCAGCTTGTTGAAATCTCATCTGTGTTGCTAGCTACAGGCACATTCGTCCGGATTGTACTGCAAGCTTGTGTGACGACCCCGATTCTTCAAAATTCTCCTCTCAAAGAGATGATCCAAGATATGGATGACACAAACCTCTTTCAATTCCAGGTGTGCTCTGCTGGATTGTGTCATGTTGTCGGAATTCTGAAATCGTCCTAGGATCCCAAACTGCACAAGCGTGCCGTTACTGCTCTTCAGGCACTGCCAGTTCGGATGTCCACTGCTCTTCAGGCACTGCTAGTTCGGATGTCCACTGCTCAAAGACCGTCAGTGCTTCGAGTCATAGCATCATTTCCAGCTACAGTACATCTGAAAATCACCACCAACAAAAAGACCCGCGGTGTGGTTAGCTCCAACACAAGTTTATTCAAGACCTCTGCAGCAGCGATCCCAGCTTCAGAGATATTTGAGACGATGGTAGAAGCCGTTGTGAGGGGAAAGCGCAAACATACAACTTCCCTGGCAAAGACTCCAGATAAGGCCAAACGACGAAAGGTTTCTGAATCCACAATGCGTGCAGTACCAGTATCAGAGCCTCCTGATAATAGTCTACGATCAATTGACACAGAGGAGGGTAAGTGTTTTTACGGTGTCTTAAAAGTTCAACTCGTTCAACTCAAATATTGAGCATCAGATGTGAGATGAATGTGGCTGGAGCGAAATTGAACCACCTTCCTTTTTGGGTCTTTCAAGTTCAATCACTGATTCTACCACGAAAGGACATTTATTTCTGAGGGTCTTCTCACGAATTGATATTGAGATTGGACGGATTTCGAAAGATTAGGTTCAACCCAAGAATTGATCGCATCCTACTGCCAGTAAATGAAATACAACCCTTCGAAATCCTGCCTCACCGAAATCTAATACATTGCCTCTTTATAGTCAGTGTAACCCACGGTAGGATTATTGGCAACGACATAGAATGTCGTGGAATCCGGAGTATTATTGAGCTCTTTCCCAGCCTGGGTGCGTTTGCCTAGATCCGGGTGAGTGAGCCAAGGAACGCCAAAGAAAACCCCAGCAGCCTTTTTTATGCTAACCAACTCCTCGGCCTCAGCAGGCGAGATGCCACCGTTAACAAAGATGTGAGTGTTGGGAAGGAATGGGCTGTAGATCTCGAGGACGTCGTGCGGAATGCCCCACTTTTTGCCTGAAGAAGGTATGAGTGACTGAAACAGCGCAGTCCCAGTGATGGGAACAGACCATCGAATTCGGGATCGATGGACGGGTTGTAGCGGTACAATGCAATGCAACATACGAAAGTCTGAGCTTGTTGATTTGATTTCGCAAAAAAGGTACTTGAAAGTGTCAATAGCTTCTTGCAAGGGCATGCCCACATCGTTGTTTCCGCCAACTATCAGGTATTTAAATTGATCATTTTCACCGAGATGCAAGAAAACATACATGGGCCAAGTTTAATCACGACGTTAGGTCCATGGACCTCGATCAGAGCCTTGAGGGTCTCCAATGCAAAGCACGTGCAATTTTCCACACTCCCATCCCATTTATCAGTACATTTGTTGGACGTGGAATTGAGGAACTGTTCGGGAAGGTAGCCATTTCCTGCCAGGACTGCGGGTCGTGTCGGTCAAGGATGTGGCACAGAGACAGTGCATAAATGCACGTTCAACACTGTCAAAGCTGGCCTTCTGTGCGTTGATCGCAGCTTGTTTATATTGCGCGATCAAGATTGTAGGGCCTGCGATTTCGGTAGGCTGAGATATCAATGAGCATGATAATTGATGGCCACAAGTACAACTGACCGTCACATATCCAGGAGCTCCATTAATGTGGCGGAACTTTCCACGACGCGCCGAGATGGCAGAAGGTGCATAGACAGGCTTGGGTGGATCAACTTTAGTGAAGAGATTTGATATCACATGAACTTGACTGACGTACCACACCAGCCATGATTTGTTCTGGGGCTTCAGGGTGACTGGTTCGGCCAACTTATACTCGTTAAGCAGGTAAATTTGTTCAAGGAAATACACTACATACGGTGCCAAAGCTATAAAAACACATAAATATCAGGGTTCCTGATGATGTGGAACAGACCTGTGAATAGATTTTGCTGCCAGCGGCGTGAACGGAATCGGTAATTTTCTTCCATCCCTCGACCTATTCTTTGTTCTAGATACCTGGGGCATCCGGCCATTCAGTTCTGGATGAAGAATTAGTTTTACAAGATCAATGCAAAGCGCTTCATCGTACCCTTGACACGTAATGAGTGTCCCCTCCGTAACAATCAGACTTGCTCCACCGAATGCCCACTGCTCATAGTATTGTTTCATGATTTTGTTTGGCACGGTTTTCGATGAGTGGTTTGGAGTCATGGCACTCATCCCTGCAGTGTGAAACAATATTCAGTATCAAGTCAAAATAAACTCGAAGACGGCTCCCACTGAGCCTGTTCGAAATCGTGACGCTTCCAAGTGCCAAGGGTGTGAACAAAGCAGACATAGCGATGTGATTGGAAGTGAAGCATATTGGATCTTTACAACTAGTAGTAGTAGCCGGAATCAAGTGGTCAGTCAGCACGGTAACTATTGGTAAGAGATTGGTAAGAAAAGACGGTTAAAAGGGACAGAAAACATATAATGGTTAAAAAAGTCGATGACAGGTGGCAGTGTAGATCAGATTTTGTAATTGCTGAACCTTTAGGTTTGGCTACCCTGGGGAAGATCGATTTTGTTCCATTTTCTGCTACAAGTGCAAACAAAACTTCGTCATATTCTGCTTGTCATGGATTCGGAAAAATTCGGAATGCAAGTGAGGATTCAGGAAGCTGGAAAGTAGGCAATAAAAAATGCGAAAATATTCATTTGACATCTTCTTATGTGTTTTTACTCGTTCCAATGCCAGATCATAAAGAGAAGGCAATGGTATTCACGATATATTGAACACTGTCCGTTTGTCATTTTGTCATTTCTGCTTTATGTTCGGGTCAGTATCCGTTGACGTGAGAATCAAC